GTAATGCAGAAACACAACTTATTCCATGAGATCCCAAGTGGGAAAACTGGCAGGGACACATAAGTACTAATTTCTGTCAATTAGATTATCTTGAATGGAATATTTAGTATTTTTAATGGAACATAATTTAATTGCTGCTCATGGGTACTTTGTAGCTGTTGGAAACTCTGATCTAAATGATTACTTTAATGAAAGATTGCCAAAGGACTTACATTTTAAACTCCTACGTAGGATAACAGTGGGACTATTTTCCCTGGGTTTCTGTGCTGGCCAGCCATCATTTCCCAGTTACAGCACGCAGGGTAATGCCAATTAGCACATCTACAGAACTACACAAGGCTAATTTCTGGGGGTGTTCACCACAAATCCAACTGCAGACCCTCCTCAAAAATTCAGACTGCTTTGAGGTCACGAGCTGACAGGCCCATTTGGCTAGCACAGTCAGAAAAGGGCTCCTTCATATTTGTGTCAGGGCCCCTGAGGGCACTAATGGCCTTGTTGGCCCGGAGCAGCCCCATCTGGGCCCACACCTGCTGCCCATCAGCCGGGGCTCTATTTAAGCTCAGCCTCAATTGGCTCATATTTGCTAAGCTGTGCTGTAGGTGTAACCTCATTTTTAGCTCTTTCCTATGGTGCAGGTAGGTCTGTCACCAGCTCTGTTTCTGGGGTGGGCCTTGGGTTGACATAGTAGCCTTGTCTCCAGCCCTGTCCGTGTCTCCTGCTGCTCCCTGGCAGTTTGTTTGGCGCACGTGAGCCAGTAGGGACACCAGGTATTGCTGTGCTGGTGGGGTGAGGAGGAGCCATTGGTAATATTTTGCCACCTGAAGGAAGATAAATTTGGGATGCTGTTCCAGGTTCCGACCAGTTTTTCCCACTTGAATCACAGTAAGTCAAATTTGGGGGGGAAAAAAAAAAAAAATCCATGAAGATCCTAAAACTACTTCTAAAGGTCACTTTTCTGCTCCACGCACGTTGCCAAGTTATGAAGTCTCATGCAAGAAACCCTTCCACACACATACGCGTGCTTATAAAGCCTTTTAAACCGTCATTAGTGTCCCCTTCTCCAAACGGAGATCTGGAATCTCAAGTGGAAATGCAGATTTTATTTATAGTCTTGGTACGCTTTTCAGCCACAACACATAAACACATGCAGCAAGAGCACTGCATTTCAGTTTGTTTACTGAGTGCCGTTGCTTTCCCATTCGGCTGGAGTGGTGAGTCAGCATTGCTGTTGAGCTCACCCTGTTCTCAGAGGTCCTCTCCAGCCTTTGGGCCAGAGGGCACTTGCCGAGGGTCAGCTGCTTTGCTGTTGTATTTTAGGAGGTTACTTTATGTATGGCCTTCTTGATAGCGTGGAGGACTCCCCTTCGGATTGCCCTGTGCTGCAGTGTCAAAACAAGCCATTAAAAAAGCCAAGCTGTTGCTGTATCCAGACAGTTGAAACTCGTGACCTAGTTTCCCAAAATCAGGAGATTGGCTTAGAAAATCAGGTATATTTTAAAAATGACTGCATAGTCTTTGCATTAAGTACTGGTTTGAGGAATTACTAGGGATACTCCAGTTGCAACTTCAAAATTTTCTTCATAATCCTAAGGGTGAGAAATGTATTTTTTGTGACAAGAAAGCAGGGGAATCGCTTGCTTCTAGCATATAAGAAAAGCACCAAATATTGTGAGACTGGTGTAAAACCAGTGATACATGGACAGTTAAAAGTTGCCTTTACTGCAGATTTGCTGGTGTTTTTCAGAATTTCTAGATCCCCAGACTCTACGTGTCAACATCAGTTATGTTAGCAGTGCATGAACTAGCATTGACTTTCTTGGGATCAGCCAGGACTTGCTGTGCAGCTGAAGGCTGTACCAGCAGAGCTGGGGTGCCTTCCTACCCACTGCCCTCTGGAGATGTCCGCTTCCCACTGTCCTCAGCTTTTTGCAGCAAGTCCTTTCTCTAAAAATGCTAAGCTTGTCTACAGGCTTGTTCAGGACCCGTGCTCCTTTGCAGCTACGGTTCCTGGAACGTAGCTACCTATTGGGATCCTTTCTCCTTATTTTCCTGCCCGGGTGGCTGTCAACAGGGATATGGACTGGAGCAGTTTTATAGCCCGATGGAAGCTAAAAAAAGGACCATGCCCTGGCCAGCTGCTTAGCAGTGCCCTCACCCTGGCCTGTGGGACCCCAGCTCTGCTGCTGTCCATTTGCCATTCCCAGACCGGTCTTCTCCCTGCCACTGTGGTGAGTTCGGCTGTGTGCAGCCCAGTTGGACTGGGGTGGGAGGGTGAACTCTTCAGCCAGGCTGTGGAGGAACAAGCAGTTTATTTTTTGTTGCCATTGGATACTGATACCAGAGTACCAGTTGTAACTGCAGCTGTAAGGCTGCCCAGAGGACGGAACCAGCATCTCTTAAAGCAATCGGTGGGTTTGTGTTTCTCCAGGAAATGTTCATAGCAATCTTTTAGGTTACAGCACTCCCAACATGCCTGTAGTGCCCTTTTTCTGGTGAAGCTTACCCCTAGGAGTTGAGAAAAGAGGGCTCTTATCAAAAACTGGAAAAGCAATAATTGGAAGGAATGTTGTGTGCACAGATGTGTTGCATTTTACTAAAAATAAGATTTTTATTTTTTTTTTTTTTTTTTTGCTCTTGATACACCAAACTGTTCTGCTGCAAAGCTTAGCCTTGAAACCAGGGTTCTCGGAAACTGCAGGTAGGCCATGCCAGGGACTTGGCATGGCTTGGTTGGTTTGCTACCCTGGTGGCGTGCTCTGTGGAAGCTAGAGAGCTGCCTGCACAGGCTTCCTTAAGACCAATGTTCATGATTCAAATCTCAAAAATATACAAGAACAGCCCCCAGGCAGTGATGCCCTGCCTAATGGCCCCACCTAATTTCCCCACTGAACTACATACTGTGCTATAAGTAGTTCTGGCACCTGCTGAAACTAGAAATGTTTCTTTCCCTGAAACCAGACACCAGCAGTGGTTAATTACTACATCCCAAATTGGCACAGATTAATGCAGCTTCACTGAAGCCAATGAAGCTTCATGGAGTTATTCCTGCCCTGGCTCTGAGTCATTAATAGGTATAGTTCTGACTATTTTTATGCTCTTCAAATTATTTTGTTAGATTACAAAAGCAATTATCAGCTCAAATCTGTTTTTCCTGGTTAGAAAAACAACTTTCTCTGTTGCAGTAAATTATTGGGCTGAGTTTTTCTTGTGCTTGTTTTACGTGGACTTAACCAATCAGCAAACTCAGCTGTATGAGAGCCCCAGAAATGGGGCTATATCACAGTGGGGGCTGCACCAAATTTGTTTCTTTCCATGTATAGAGGCATTATAATAGATATACATATGTGTGTATGTATATACACACACTGCTACATGTCCTGCAATATGTATATACATGCATGAAGTAGCTGCTTTCGAACAGTCTGGATGTGTAATTAAAGTGGAAAATCCTGTAGTTAGAATTTTCTTGATGCTTGGAGAAGTGGATCACTATAGAAGTGACTGCTGTGGCTATACGTGAACTAAATTAAAGCTGTGGCCTGAGAGGCAGAGTCAAAATAGCTGGAGCCAGGATCTAAACAGAGCTAGGGTTCAGACAAGTCACAAAACTAACAAATTAGGAACTGTTTTGGGAGTACTGGTTTTGGACATTTTCAGTTAGAAAAATTGACATGGAATAACAATGACCAGTAACTTTCCCCTTAGAAGCACTCACCCAGGAGGGAGTCAGATGCTTTTATTGTAATACTACCTCTAGTGACTCTGCATGGGTTTTGCAGCCTGATCCTAAAGCCCTCTTAAGTCTTTTTTGAAGCAGAGGTCTTGAGCAGGAGCAACTGTGCTACTGCTGTACTACTGGTACCCATATTGCAAATGGCATCCTGCCATCTCCAGCAGCAATACTGCTGCTTTCTAGTTGATCTGTCATCATGTGTAGCCATACGCATGCCTTGCACTGTCTTAGAGATTGGTTTCATGGGGACATGGTTAAGACAGAGGATGTGATGGAGTATGTACCCCCTGTTAAGCTTTTGAGCTCTGAGGACTTTTATTATGTTAAAAAAACCACCACACTTGCCTGGTAAATTAAGAACAAACTGCTTTAAAATTAGCCTATCAAGATCACACCCAGGGCATGCAACCCCCCAGTATACATCTGTGTGCGCAAAACAAGTTAAGCAACAAAAGCAGCTTTGTATCAAAATAGTTTATTAAAACCAATAAGAGACTTCATTGAAGCTTGCTGTCCTCAAGACAGAATTATGACATTATTGCAGCATTCAACACAATCATAATCCACATAAAAATATAATACTATACAGCTCCTGTTTGCCTTGGCCAAGTTTTGCCCTCAGTCTGGCCTCATGCAGCCCTGCTGACACAACCCAGCCCTGCATACTTTAGTTGCAGAACCTGTTCCTCTGGGAACAGAATTATAACCCTTCCTCACTTCACGCTGCACAGTGCTGTTACTATCTGGAAGTCGCACAGAAACCCAACGTGTCTCTTTGCAGCTAGAGGCAGTTTACAGAACCAGTATGAACACACCAAGTGACCGATGACAGCAACACTGGTCGATGTTTAGGAAAACTAAATATGCAACCAATCACTCAACTTCCCAGCGCTCTGCAACTGCACAGAGCGGCTTCTGTTTACAAGAAGGAAGCTCTGTTCAGACCTGCTGCATCACCACCACAGCCATGACAGAAGGACTCTTATACTGTATGGTTTGGTGTAATGCATGGAGTCACCTTTCACTGCAGCACTTGCAGAGCAGTGCATTGCCAGCAGCTGGCTGGCACGCTTCTGCCATCATCTCTAAATACCCTCCAACAGAGTCACTCTTTGCCATCAGCTTTGCACCAAAGTCAGTATTTGTCCTTGCACCGTGGCAGACTGAGCACTCGGTATCTCAGTCTTTCAGGTCAGGATGCTGCCATGAAGCACGGCTTGTTTCCTCACCAGCTGAGAGGCTGCTTCTGGCTTTTCTCCATCGCTCATGTTCCCTGGGCCACTCTGGTGATGGGTGTCTTCTTGCACAGCTCCTGATAGAATTCAGATTCCAAAAACCGTGGGTAAGAGTTATTCTCCATTAAGCTGTAAACTCTCTTCTGTGCTGCACTGAAGCAGGTATGCGTGGCTTCTTGAATATTCTGTGCAATCATGTTCTTGGTTTGGAAGTCTATGTTTATCTGAAATAAAAAAGGACATTTACTTTTGAGAACTGAATTCAAGTAAGTACAATACACTATAAAAGTTTCTGAAGCGGTAAAAGAGGCAAGACCCTATTACTATAGGGTTAAACAAATGAAATGTCCTTTAAGAAAATTTTTCTTTAATATAAGAAAATTCACATATACTGTCCTTCAGTGCTGACCTCAATACATTATAGGTGTTAAATGCAGCTGTTGACTTTTCCCAGTTAAGATGGAAACTCTGAAATACTGCTTGTGCCATTTTCCATCTTGGTGAAAAGGCAGTTAGGGAGAGTTAGGTTCAGACACAGATATTAACAGTGAGGTATGTACAATGCAGTTTGACATCTGTATCTTAAAGTGAGTTCAGAGAAATAAAGAAAGGGTATAAGAACTCATAGAACAGGGCACTTATGTTTAAACAGGTTTTCTTTACCTCTTTGGGGGCCTCCTTTTCAATGAAGTCATTGTAGATTTTTTTTGCTTTCGATGTCAGCTTCTGGGGTGACTTGGTTTTCTTGAAGTCCTCACAGGCCAACCAGAACTCAATGTTCTCTTCGCAGAACTCGGACTTCAGAAAAGCTCGGAAAGCAGCAAGACCATCTAGCAAAAGAAAAAAAATACAGATCAATTAACTCTTTCAGGAATTTTGAATTTACCTATTGGTCAGATCTGTTTCTACCAAAACATTTTCCTGTAGTTCTGGTCTGGTTCTTTCAGGGATATCATAGCAATAAAAAAAATTCCACCTTTACGTATGCAAACAAATTATCACTCTAACAGCTTGGCAGGCTTCACTTTAAGTCATTTATTTTTTGAGGTAGACAAAAAAATGAAAGCCATTTCTAGTCAGTATGTTCTCTTTTTTGATGCCTGCATATATATTAAAAACCCTTTCTGTAGATGGGATCTCCTGTGTTAACCTTTACACTGGAGTAAATATGACTGCACTACAAACCTCTGGAATTTTTTTTTTACAATGGAAAGGATGACTCAAGTTCAAAGAGCAAAGAGTAGTATTATCTCTTAGTCTTTTTGCTCTGCTGTTGACTGCTTTTCCATGTAGAGATACAGTAAAATCCTGAGATCATTGAACTTCTGTGTTGCAGCATCTTTCCCCAGTTATGGGGACGCATTTGTCTTGGTGAAGCAGTGAGCTCAGTGAACAAATGTTCTTTTCACATTTGGCAAAGCCAAGCCAATAGGTACAATTTTAACTACAAGGGTTACAGAAAAAATTCCGCTACAATGAAGTGTTCTTGATGTTTTAATATTAGTTTACTTTTTTTTTTAAAGAACACTTCCGTGACTTTTCTCTTGAAACAGTTTAAAGCATTTAACTTTCAAGACCAGAATCAAAGCTATTTATGTTACAAAGGTACAATGCTGACACACAAGGAAGCAATCTCTTACAGACATATAAACTTCACCATCTCTTTGCTCTTGAAAGTTACTTTTTGAAGACAAACTTACATTTATTAGCAAGAAGTTCATCAAAGGCTTCTGACCAGAGCTGGGCTTCTTCAGGGGAAGGTCTGCATAAAGAGACGGAGAACATTAGACTCCACTGCTCAAGCTTTATTGTTTTTGTAAAACACTTGAGTTATTTAAACAAAGTCTCTTTCTCCTAACTTACCTGAAGTACTTGCGGTGTTTCCCCACTTTCTTAGACTTCATTTTAGTAGAATTGGAAGAGTTCTGCAGGAAGTAGCTCAGCCTCGTTTTCCAATCTTTAATGCTAGAAGAACAAAGAAGATGCGCGTTAAAAATGACAACTCAAAAAGCTTTGGACACCAGCCCCTTTCCTGGCAAAAGCTGCAGGAGTTTTGCAGACATTGCTCTGCCAGCCCTGTACCTAGAGAGTCGCCCAGAGCACCTGTCCGAGGACAGGAAAACTATTTTCCCCTCGCTTAAATCAACAGATTCGCCCGCTAGCCAATGGCTAACGTTAGCCAAGGTACAGCTGCGGGTGGCAGAGGTGGGCAAGCTGCTCTGCTCCCACCGACGGCCCGGCCCTGCAGCCCGCTTCCCTCCGGGCTCCGCGCATGGGCGCCTCCGGGGCTGCGGCCCCCCGCGCCCTCGGTGCCCCCGCTCTGCCCCGGGCGGCCGGGCGGGACTCACATCGTCCTCTTCATCCTGCCCTTCTCCGCCTCCTCCGCCTCGCTGCGGCGGC